TCAGTTCCCACCACAGGATTCTGTGAGGCCTCTGTTCCCCACCCTCCTACCCCAACTTGGGAACTTTCACCCTAGGCCTCCCTCTCCCTGTCCTAGGACTCAGAAGACTGAAGGCCTTTCATCCCAGCGACAGCCTCCCTTCCATTCCTGGAACATCCTGCTACCCTGGCATCTTCTAGCATAATCCCCCTGTTTCCCAGGCCATGGGATCCTGCAAACCTCAGTAGTGACCAGGAGTAACGCCCATCTCACCTTGCCCAAGTTTGCAGCTGTGTCTGAGGCCTGTTCTGCTTGCTCCTGGGACTCCCTCAGCTGTAATTTGTTTTCTGACACCTGGGCTTGTAGAGCATCTGCTGCCCCCAGGAGCTGGTCCAGGGTGGCACCCACATCCAGATCATGCGTGGCCTGAACTAGCCCTAAAGCCATCTGTGGTCGGGCCAAATGAGGGGATGGAGAGATCAGGACAGTGGGGTTAGGGCAGAGGGGGAAGGAAGGGTTTGTTTTTTTGTTTTTGAAAGGGGAAATCTGAACTTAGGAGTTCCAAAGGGCATTATGACTCAGGTTCAGGATTTGGGGGCTCAAAGGTGACATCGGGGAAGTTTTCCAATGCTTTTGAGTTTCAGGGGATATTAGAGAAGTTTTCTGGGGTGTTAGGAGTCCAAGGGTATATTTGGGGATGGATGAAGCACATCAAGGAGCACAGGAACACTTGGGGAATGGGTTCCTTTTTGACAGACCCAAAGACAAAGATGGGGAAGCATAGGGTTGGGGAACAAGATGGACATGGTTTTTATGGGTGTGTTAGGAGTCCTAGGGTAAATTCAAGTAGGCCCAGGAAGTGCTGGGGGACACAGGAGACACTGGGGGTAGCTTCCTGGAGTGTCTGGATACATAAGCTATTGAGGGAAGTTTGAAGAGTACAAAATACAAGGGAAGTTAAGGGAGGTTTCTGGGGTGTTGGGAGATGCGAGAGCTATTAGGGAAGGCTTTAAGGAATGCTGAGGGACACAGTCAACACTGGCAAAATTTTAAGGAGTGTTTTAGTGCACGAGGGCACAGAGGAAGGTTTCTTGAAGTATTGGGGTTTGAGGAAGGTTGACAAGGGAGGATCAGGGGACGGTGAGTGATTTCTGAGCAGTGTTAGAGGTCACAGGAATCCCAGAATTTTAGAGCTTTAAGGGACCTCAGCAGTCATCTACTCCAAGTCACACCTGAGAAGGAATGCCCACAACAAACTATTCAGGAAGGGGTCATCCAGACTTCCAAAGACAAGGACCACAGCTCTTCCCAAAGCAGACTGTTGTGAACGGTTCCAGAAACTGGCATCGTCAGGAAGTTTTTCCTAACATCAACTATAAACATTCTTCTTTTCATCTTCCACCCATTGCTCCTAGTGCTGCCCTCTGGGGCCAAACGGCATACTTGAAGATAGATAGCTATCAATCAATCAATCACCTGGTCTTCTTTTCCACAGGCTAAACATCCCTAATTCATTCAACCATCCTGGCAGCCCTCATCCAGATGCTCTTCAGCTTATCAAAGTCCTTCCTAAAATGGATTAGCAAGAACTGGACACAAGCCCCTAGACAGGCCTTCTTGACTCCTGGGAGCTGTGCATTTTAATGTGGCCCAAGATTCAATTATTAGCATATTTAATTACCATATCACTCTATAAATTCACGTTGAGCTTGCAGTCCACTAAACCCAAAGACCTTTTTCAGACAAACTACTACCTAAATATTCTTACATCTTGCAGTGGTGAAGTCAATTTCTTGAACCCAAAGGTGGGACTTCACATTTATCCCTATTAAATGTCACCTTACTAGATTCCAGCAAATGTTCTCGCCAGGCAAGCTCTTCTGCATCTTGATTCTCTTAAACAGTGTGTTAACCAACCCTCCCAGCTCCGTCATCTGCAAGCTTGATAAATAGGCCATCTATACCTTGATCCCAGTCCCTGAGAGGATAACAGACAAGGCCAAGCACAGCTTGGTGGGCTCACCCTCCCCTGGAGACCTCCTCCCAAGCTGACAATGAACCCTCAATAACCACTCTCTGTATCCCAACATTTAATGAGTTCTAAATTCATCTAATGATACTGTCTCACACACATAACTCTACATATTTTTCTGTAAGAATAGCAGACACTATTTTATTTATCAAGCACTTTCCTGAAATTTTGATAAACTTTATCCATAACATTCTCCTGATCTATCAGCTTAGTATCCTGTCAAAAAAGGAAGTAAACTTAGTTTGGCACGGCCTGTAGAATTCTGATGAGGCTATACTGCCTCTTGGATCACCACTTCCTTATCGAGATTTTCATTAACCATATTTTTAATAATTCATACAAGCATTTTTCCAGGAATCAATGTCAAGTTCACTGATCTATAGTTTCTATAATCCATTCTCTTCCCATTGCAAAAATCTGGACATTTGCCCTTCCCCAGTCCTGTTTTCTCTCTCGTACCTTCCCTTCCCCTGAGTTGAAGACTTGGCTTCTGAGAAAACAGAGGCCACTTGACTTAATTTGACTTGAGTTCTGTCTTTCTCTCATTCAATTCATCCCCAAAATCTTTGATATCACTCTATCTCTCTCCCTACTACTACTTTCTCCTAGTCTGTGACAATGAAGTGGCTTTTCTTGCCAAGTTCAACCCCTTAACATGTGCCCTTGATCTCATCCTCTCCTGTCTTCTCCAGGTTACTGACCCCTTAATCATGTCCCCTTTCTCTCTAATCTTCAACCTATAGCTAATGGTTCCTTCTCTAGTGCCTTCAAACATGTCCACGTCTCCTCATCTTAAAAAACAAAAACTTCGATAAGGCCAACCTTTTCCCCAAGCTACTATCCTATCTATCTTCTCCCTTTTCCAGACAAACTCCTAGAAAAAGCTGTCTACATTCATTGCCTCCACTTTCTCTTTTCTCACTTCTTTGCAATATGGTTTCTGACCCCATTCATCACTCTCCAAAGTTATCATGATTTCAGTGGTTTCTCAGCCCTCATCCTTCTTGATCTCTCTGTTGCATTTGATACTGCTGATCAACCCCTATTTCTGGAGATTTTCCCCTTGTTCTCCCATTTGTCTGACCACGGATTCCTGCTAAATCTCCTGTGTCAATGTTCATATTGTTCCCCCAACTGTGGGTGTTCTCCAAGGCTTTTCGGCCTCACTCTCTGAGTGAACTCATCAGCTCCCATAAGTTAAATTATTCATCTTTAAGCAAAAGATTCACAGATCTATATATTCAATCCCAATATCTCTTCTGAACTGCAGTCTCAAATCAGCAACTGCCAATTGGACATTTCAAACTGAACATTTAAAAATTTAACATGTACCAAACAGAATTCATTCTTTCCCTATTTCTACTGCAGGCATTATCACTCTGCCAATCTCCCAGGTTTGTAACCTTGGCATTATCCCTCACTCTTCACCCTCCTTTACCTTGCTTATCAAATCAGTTGCCAAATCTTATTTCTGCTTCCCCAACATCTCTTGCATCTAACCTCTTCTCCATGCTGACACAACCACCATCCTGGTTCAGGAGCCCATTCCCTCAACCAGACTATAACAGCTCCTAGTTGCCCTCCCTACCTTAAGTCTTTCACCACTTTCACCACTCCAAACAGCTGCCAAACACATTTTTCTTAAGCAAAAATTTACCATTTTATCCACCTACCAAATAAACTCCAGTGGCTCCCTATTGCCTCTAGGATCAAATATAAATTCTTCTTTGGCTTTTAAAACCCTTCTTCACAACCTAGCCCTGACCCCTCTGTGCAGTTTCATTATATTCTCCTTTCCACACTCTACCATCCAGAAGGCCAACTAGCCGCCTCCTTGTTCCTCACAGATGGTACTCCATTTCCTGTCTCCATGTCTTTGCATCTTCCATGACTAAAATATATCTCCTCTTCTCTTCCACCTTACACAATTTCTCCTCCTTCAAGACACAGTTGGAACATCACCTTCTACATGCAACCTTTTCTAAATCACACCTCTCAAGGGCTAGTGCCCTCCCTCCTCAACTCCCTTGTACTGTTTCTGTACATGTTTATACATACATGTTGTCTGTGCCACAATGGAATGTAAGCTCCTTAACATGGTGCTTATTCTTTGAATTTGTAGCTCCAGCACCCTGAAGAACTGAGAAGGTGCTCCATCTATATTGTGGCAGCTATCCCCTTACTTAAACTGATTATCCTCTACCCATCAGACATCTTTCTTGTCCTTTCCAGTCCAAAGGAGATTTTGCTTGGCAGAGAAAACAGCTCAGATAAGAGCCAAGCAGCTTGGCTTTCTCTCAATGGTCAGTTTATCACCATTCCACCCACACTCCCCCAAGTTCTTTCCCTTCTTTGATCTCACTTTCCCTAATACAGCCTTTAAAAACCCATCTTTCTTTCTTTCATTAAGTCTTTATCTTTCCTCAGAGGAAAGATAACGTTTGCTCCAAGCTTTAGTTCTACTGACATCATCTTAACAGAACTCTGCTGTGTTTGCACTGATCCTGTTACCATACCATGCCTATTACTCTTGCTTCCATACTTATCTTTTGAAAACCCAAGTTGGGTGATGTATTCTCTGTGTACCTACTTTTGTTTTCTTCAAACAACTGCCCTTTTACCTTCTTATCACAACTGTTTCTCTTTGTGTCTTCAGAATTTCATTCTTGAAGAATCTCCCATCGCTCCTGGGCTGACGTCCAGGGTAGAATTTTATTTTAGTTCATGGAACGCTAGCTTTTTTTCCTCATCTACACCCTGTGACATCTGCTTTCTGAAGGTTTAGGAAGCATGTCGGATAATGCCCAGCCTTCTCCTTCTCAGTCACAAACTCTACAAGGCACTGGTCCCCCCACCCCCCTCCAAGAGTCTCAGAACCAGTTCTTCCTTGTAACTGAGAAGTAGAACCAGAAGAGATTTTTTTCTCTTTCTTGGTGGAACTTCCTGAAGCACGGAAATATCATTAAGGCAAGTCAAGAAGTTACTGACTACTCTGCTTAGACAGAGTTCCTGCCAAAGGCTAGACAGATGACTGTCCCTTGCACCATCATTACCTTTGCTATTTCCTGCTTCAGTTCTGGGATGGTGATGTTTCCTGAACATGCCCATATCCTCTAGAGTGTACTCCCATGCCAAAATCCTCTGGTTCCTGGATTACCACACAGGAGGATGCCTTCTTAATATACAATGCTTCTACATCACAGTTTCACCTAGCTTGTTTTTTTTTCTGTAAGGAATACTAACTCAGAACTATTTTTCAGTCATGGGTCACGTCTCAAGGAGAACTAGGAGGTCAAATTTGTCTTCTTAGAACTCTAATTTAGTTTTGCTCGTTGCTTATATTTTATGGATACGTGTCACCTGAAGCTGTGGGACTTACTACTGGTTCCTCTCTTGGATTCTGTCATTCGCAGACTTTAGAGTGCCTCAAACTGCTATTTCTTTTCCTACAACACAGGTACTCTCTATGGTCTCTAGCTTGAACATATGCCAGCATTTTTTTCCCTCTTCCATTATTTTTAGCTTAAAGCCCTTCTGATTAGATTTTTATGACACAAGGCCTTTGTTAGGTATGCTCCATCCCTGTCCAGAGATCTGTTGTTCCTATTTTAATCCATGGCTGAGAAATCAAAATCCCATTCTCAAGCATCATTTTCTTAGTCAGCTGTTCTCCTCACCGCATCCCTTGCCTTCAGGGGGGAGCAGTGACAAAAATACCACCTGGGTCCTTTTGGTCTCCAATTTGTTGCCCAAGACTTTAGAATCTCTGGCAATACTTTATAGGTTCCTTCTGGCGATATTATTTGTGCCCATATGAATCACCAGAAGTAGATATTAGTCATATGTTTTGACAAGCCATGGGAGGTTCTCAGTTACGTACTGAACCCATGTGCTGCCAAGAAAATAACAGACCTCTCTATGACCGACAGTTATCAAACTGACTCCAAGTAAAGAGTCAGCAATCACCACTCTTGTCTGCCTCTGACCCTTAGTGAATGCTCTCTCTCCTTATTGCCCCACAAGTAGACGGACAACTGCTTCCTCCACAAAGGAGATTTTTCCATTCTTCTTCAAGAGCCTCAGATTTGTGTTTTTTTTTGTTTTTTGTTTGTTTGTTTTTTGGTAAGGCAATTGGTGTTAAGTGACTTGCCTAGGGTCACACAGCTAGTAAGCATCATGTGTCTGAGGCCAGATTTGAACTCAGGTCCTCCTGACTCCAGGGCTAGTGCTTTGATGGGCCACCTAGCTGTCCCATCACATTTTTTTTTTTCTTTATTCCAAGTGTTCCAACTCTGTCTTCCCTTCCCTTCCTGTGTGACATTTTTCTACTTTCCAATATCCTGACACAGGGCAGGTTTCTCCTTTACCTCCTCCAACCCTCTTTTTTACCTTTTCCCCTACATTGAAGGCCTGCTTCTATTCTTTTGGAGGGGGACACTGAGGACTTTGGGGAGGTGGTGGGGGATCCAGAGGTCACTGGGGGAAGTCTCAGGAATGTTCAAGGTCACAAGGGACACTGAAATGTATTTAGGGACATTAGGATAAGTTTAAGGATTTGGGAGGACATCGGAAAGGTTTGTGTGAGGCTGTGAGATATTGGGATTTTTTAAATTGGGGTTACTTTGAGGGATGTTGTAGGAGGTTTCTTGCATCACTGGGGAACAGAGGAAAAGTTTACAAGTGTTGGGGCACAATGAATCCTGAGGGATTGACACTGGGAAAATTAAAGAGTGTTGGGGAATATGAGGTTCAGTGAGGGACGCTTGAGGAGTGTTGGGGAGCACATGACACACAAAGGGAAGGAAGAGTTTCTGGAGTGTTAGAGGCATATGGGACCGTGGGGAAGGTTTCCTACACCACTGGCAAGTGCTGAATGTTAGAGTATCTGGGGGGAATCTAGGGGTTCTAGGAAATATGGGGCCTGTGGGAGAGGAATGGGAGCCCCGGGATCTTACCTCCTGTGTCTGAACCTCTAGGCCCCTCAGCGCCTGCTTTGTTTTCCGAAGCTCTCTCTCAGCTCTCCCTATATTATTCTGGGCCTCAGCTAGAGCTCCCTGGGTCTTCTCAACATTGTCCTGGGTTCTGTCTGCATCCTCCCTGTGGGCACAGGGAAGGTCAACTGGCCCTGGCCCCAATCCTGAGTGCTCAGTGGTCTCAGGGAGGGCCTTATTAGCAATGCATAATGTGTGACACATAACAGATGGAGTGCTGGATTTCAAATCCCGTGATAAATAGGAGCATCTCTGCCATGCTGTGGGTGGCCTTGGGCAAACCTTGATGCCCTCCTCTGCTTTAGGAGGGGTCTGGATCAGGCAAATGTGCCTTCAGGTGCTTTGCATCCGGTGAGCCTGACTAGTCTCTAATGTTCTATTTGAGCAAAGCAAGATGTGTCCTCCCTGGTCAAAGGAGAGCTGGACCTGGAGTCTTAAAACATGGGTTCAAGTCCCGGCTCAAATATAACCTACGGCTGGCAGGTAAAGCCCCACACGGCCTGGCTCCTTTCTCTCATGCCCCTGCATGAAGGCTATGACCCAGCAACTTGGTGCCTCTTCATTGGCTGGCTGTCGCCCATGCCTGGGACTCTCCTTTCTTACTTCTGCCTACAGGCTTCCTTCCAGGCTCAGATTCCATTCTACCCTCTTGAGAGTCTTTCCCCGGCTCTCACTGGCCCCCAACCCCTGCCACATACCTTCTCCTCTGAGATTACCTTCCACGCGTTCTGTCTCTGTCTTGTACAGACAACTATTTCCATGTTGTCTCCCCCTTTTGACTGGGGGCTCCCTGAGGGCAGGGACCGTGGTCTTGCTTCTCTTTGTATCACTAGTATTTACTTACTCAGCACGGTGCCTGGCACCCAGGACGCACTTTAAAAAATGCTCATTAACTGAATGTTGGTCCTGCCACTACTCCCCAGTGGGACCTTGGACAAGTCCCTTAACCAAGCCTAGTTTCAGTCTTTGCGTCCAGCTGCACGTTCTATAACCCAGAACGCCCCAGCTCCTCACCTGGCCCGCTGTGCTTGCTGAAGGAGGCCCTGGGCTGAAGGCAGAGCCCAGTCCATACTGTCTGGGAGTTGGAGGGCAGCTTGGATCTCCTCCAGCAGCTGTTTCACGGCTCTCTGGCCCCCGTGGGCCAGAGGAATTTTCAGGACCCTCTGGGCCACCAGTTCCACGCTCTCAGGGTCTGCTCCTTCATCTGGAGTAATGGGAAGACAAGGGACTGATATCAGGACTATGGACAAGGATTCTGATTCTTGAACTTCATTGGGAAGGGAGGAAAGCAGGAAGGGGAGGAGAAGGGAACGAGCAACTATTATACGCCAAGCACTGAGCTAAGTGCTTTACAAAAAGTATTTCATTTGATCTTCACAACAACCCTTAGGTAGGTGCTGTTATTATCCCCATTTTACAGCTGAGGAAGCTGAGGCAAACAGAGGCAAAGTGACTTGCCAAGGGTTTCACAGTAAGTATCTGAGGCTGGGTTTGAACTCAGGTCTTCCTGACTCCAGGCCCAGCGCCCTGGGCACGATGGCATAAGACTAGCAACAGCTCCCATTCCTATAGTGCTCTAAGATTTACAAAACACTTTCCTCAGAATAAATGATCTCTAAAGCCCTTCTAGATCTAAATCCCATGACCTAACCCTGAGAGTAGGTAGCATATTATAATACCCATTTACAGACAAGAAAACTGAAACTCAACAGAAGGAAATCGACTTACTTGAGGTCAAATGGCTACTAAGTATTGAGGACAGGACTCAAATGTAGGTCTTCTGAACCTAACTAGTGTTCTTTTTAGTTCAGACCCCCCCCCC